TATTAATTTTGTACTTAAAATATTCTAAAAGAAACATAACAATATTGTTTTATGTACTTTCACTTTTCACGTATAGTATAACTACTCTTTAAGATTAAGTACTGTGTATCTCAAAAACCAGAGCTAATAAAAATTTTTCATCGTTATTTTCGTTTTTATCACCCCAAAATTAGTAGAAATTGACTAATTTAGTGTAGGAAAAATTCAAAAAATATTTTTTTGTTGTGTTGTGATAACCAGTCCGTGCAAAGCTTATTGCTGAATCATCTGAAAATGGAACTTTTAGTGGGTGATGATCAACTTCATTGCCAAACATGCGCCAAACTAACTGAGTATTATAAGAAAACAAGTATAGTTGAGGCACCAGTTAATCTAATAATAACATTGATGATCTTCAAACATGACTCAACCTCTGACGGAAGCACCAAACTCTTACGAAGGTTCGAAATAGATAAACACTTCGATCTAGCAGACCACTATTATAATGTTCATGTTCACTGTGGTTCTGGCATTGAATCTGGTCATTATTACGCATTGGTCAAAGACGAAACGAACTGGTTTAAGTTAAATGATAGTCGTGTCACTAAGTGTTCTGGCGATGTCTTGAATTTATTGGAGCCTCTGGAGACACCCTACATTTTGTTTTATGATAGAGAGGACATTGGCAGATCAACATCTACAGGTGATGTGGTGCTGCAGGTTTGTTCGTGTTTTCCTGCAAATGCGCCACTGGAATCAATGAAGTTGCCTCAGAGCGCCAATTAATTCTTGTTGTTTTATGATTTCATGATTTGTATTACTCTCTTCTTTAATGGATTAGAAATAACATATTTTAAGTTGTCGTTCAAAAATACATGTAAAAAACGTTTCAGTAGTCACTTCTAGTACTAACCTATGCAATTCCTGGGTCCTTCCCCGAAAGGCAAATAAGCAAAGGGGTGTCTTGCCGCTTTGTTTTCGCTATTGAATCTTTCTGGGTCAAACTTATCTGGATCGGGATAGTATTCTGGGTCCCGATGGATCCCTGGAACGGGAATATATACGGGGGTTCCTTTTTCTATTACTACTTTGGTACCAGGAATGGTATACGGTTTTTTGCAAATTCTGGTGAGGATCGTGCCGGCTGAATGTTTGCGAAGAGTCTCTGAAAAATAACAGATCTCTGATAATAGGTACTAATGAAGTTAGGTAATCAGATGCGAGTTGGTGACAAGTTCCGAGTTGCATTGGCCATCATATTCTTCATTCATACCATAATTTCTTATATCATCCACCGTCGTCAAGCAAAAATATAACAAAATGAACAGAGACAAGGTCAAAGTCATCTTCATATTTTTCTTAATAGTTTTTGTAAAAATCCAGCGCCTTCTGGTTGACATTTGAGATATAGACAGAGTCATGTCCTTATCAAAACGCAATTAAATCTTCACAAATTTTTATTTTTGGAAACAAATTGGAACAAAAAATTTTCATAGCAACTGAACGAGAAATACCCACTTTCCGGGCGGATTATAGAGTAAAGAAATCAGAAGTCTTCAACAGCGACTAGATCAACAAATTCATTAGGAAAGCCAGTAATGAAACATATCTATTGCTGAAGGTAACTTTAACAAAATATTACAGTTGTAGGACATAACTCCGTTTGCTATATTTTCAGGTAGCTACAATTATTGGGACTGCCGTTGCTTGTAGACGGGAAGAACTAACAATTATGTCAATTGATTTAGTAAAAGCATAATACATAATGAGAAAACTTTTGTTGTAACTGGGCAAGAAAACCCGCTGTTGTATGGTCAATATTCATTTGGTATCCAGTTTCGGGAATCTCGGATTAAGATTCGCAGAATTTTTAAATTTACCTAATCCTAATTGCCAAGACCATTAAAAAATCATCATTTGAAAACAATCAATGTGAAACGGAAACTTTATCTTCTTGTTCTGACTTCAGAAAAGGCATTTAAATATACCGAGCATTTCAAACAAATTGAATCTCTACAATATCAGCAATTGCTAAATCTTTGAAACTTTTTTCCATAAAGAAATATCATAAAGGAATCTATCTCATGGACTTGTTATTCCACACGGTTGCTCACAGTTGCCGAAAAAAATAGTGTACGCAACACTTCCAAAATTCCAAAAACAGTTTTTTTGGACTCGCAGATTCCAGGACTCACCTTAGAATTTTGTCTAATTTCCAAAAAAANTTTCAATGACTGACATCAGTTTTCGTATTCAAGTATGAATGTGATTGTGAGGTAAAGGACATATCTAATAAGTATCTTTTGTATTTATTATGTTCAGTTGCTGATATTTTTGTGTCAATGAACTCCATAAAATGACCTTCATCATTTTCGTGATTATTCAAAGCACATTTTTCTGGTCTTAATATACAATCATTTTTATGAGAAGTTATTCTATCATTTAATTTTTTTGTTGTTTGTCCAATATATTTTCCATTGCGATTGGAACATGGTATACAATAAATTGAGTCTGAACTTCAATTTTTATTTTTTGTTTTGGTAAAGATAGATTCAATGGTTGAAACTGTTTTGTTTGCAATTTTGATATTCTCAAACGGTTTTGAAAATTTTGGTCAATCTAGGCATGATTTCTGTAACATAAGGGAGAGAGGTGTAAAAATTTCAATTTGGTTCAGATCCACTTGTTCATTAGTATTCAATTAAGATGAGTTATTAATAATAATATTATTTTGTGGATAATTTTTATTGTCTGTAGAACTGGATAGAATATTTTTTAGCAAAGTTGGAGTAGAAGAATTTTGTAGAAATAGGTCATAAACACTCTCAAGTTCCTGAGAAATTTTCAGCACTTGCTATTTATTTAACTAAGTTCGCTTTAATTGTATGTGGTACAACAGGTAATTCATATATTTGCCCGAGTGAATGAGATTTCTGTTCCAGTCGTTGATGGTCATATTCGTTGAAGTGCGAATGAATTCAGTGTTTAAGAATGGCACACTATGTTCTTTGTTCTCGTACTCATTCTTTAACTGTATTCATGGTCATAGCTGTTGAAAATTTCTATTATATCTCCAGTATATTCACCTTACAGAGCCAAGATAATGCAATCAACATAATGAAAATTGATTTAAAAGGTAGAACTTCGATTACAATTTCTAAAATGTAATTCATCACATATGCTGCTAGAATGGGACTTATTTTTGCACCCATAGGTGATCCAAAGTTTTGTTGGTAAATTTTATTATCAAAAGAAAAAACTATTATTGAATAGAAAAATTATTAATTCAAAAAAGTGTTGTTTTTGAAAATTGCAGAACAAGGAGACATGATTCTAATTTTTATCAATTGCTTTAAGGCAAAAGTATTTGCTGACTATTTAAGGATAATACTCGGAAAGTATCTTTGGGTTATCAGCAGAAGTGTACTTTTATAACACATAAGTTATTCCAATATTTCGATTAAGTTTATTATCATCTTAAAGGAAAAATGTTGGGGAGGATAGGTATGTCGAAAAGAATGTTGAGTTCAAACGAATAAAACATGTCAATACTATAAAAACAGTCACTATATCAAAAGAGGTTGACTCCCCACTGATGCTCAAAAGGTTCACTTGAATTTTTTTAAATTAAACTCGAATCAGTATCATGCCCAAGTTAAGGATAAAAACACCTTACTTTTTGTCTCATGTGGACCTACGAACTTGCAGATACTTACCCGACCGAAAAAAAAACAACTAACCCAGCTGATGCCGCGCAGGAAGCTTTGAAAATGTAATAACTAAAGAACGACCAGCTCAAAATCAGTTTTTGTAGAATAAATGCGGATTCATTTTCAACGATGAATTGACATAAGGTAGTGTTTGCTAAATTTCATTCTCTATTTGACTTGCGACTCATGAACTATTGTGAATTGGTATATATGGAATATATATACAAATGAAGTTGTTCAATTTCAATGAAAACAGGTACATCCGTCATGATTATGCCTATAAAATATTTGTAATATGACAGATTACTTTGTTTTCAGTATCAAATGACTATATTTTACTTTTGAAATTGGTATTTCTTGGATTTTAGGTATTTTTTTGGAATAAGAGAAGAACCTGAACCTTGTCATTATATTATCGAACCCTGTATGTTATCATTGTTGTTAATCGGTATGGTTTCGGTAATACGTTTGAAACGTTAGTCTTTGACTGAAAATGATAATAATATATTCTAATTCTACTACGGTAAAATTACGGAGTCGCTTAAAAAAATTTTAGTATTTATGCTATTTAGAGCTCTGTATGTGTATGAGACTTTCTTCTTTATATCCTTGAAATTGATTGTGAACTAATCAACTCAAATCACTCATGATAAGATACGCGATTGCTGCATATATGCATTCAACAAAAATTCAACGTGGTTATCACTTGATAAATAAGCACTTTGAAATGTACGTGATTCGTGATGGCTCATCAATTATTTTAAAACATTGAAAATTTCAGTAAATGAATTGAAATATTGGGTAACTGTAGGATATGAAATTAGTATATTAATTAGGCTGCTAAAATTTAATAATATATTCGAAAATATATCTGCAATGGAGATGGAGATTACATTCCTGCATTTACTGAATGAAAAGTAAAATTTTATATTATTCTTCATGCATAAACCCACTACTCTATTTCTGGTTTGTCGATGCTAACAGATTCAATCTGTTGAGAGAGAACGAAATGTGCGCTAGTAGGCCGTGATACCAAACATTTCGTGTGTTATTGTGGCAGATATCCTCAGTGGTATACGGTCAGTCATTGCGAAGACTACATGCCTTGTAGTCAACGCATATGCCACTAATGATGTCTACCGCAGTAGCAGACGAAACTTTCAGTATTACAAGTTTCATCTAACCATTGCCCACCAGCACGAATTTAGTTCTCTCTAACCATGACTATGGCTGTGGAAGCCAATGTTGATTTGATTTTGATGTATGGCACAATTTTAAATGCAAATCTGTAACCAGGTTTCAGACACTCCCACAAGGAGTACACAAAGTATTCTCAACGAAATGAAGGCAAACAAATGCTTCACGAGTGATGTGGTGTTGTGTACAAACGGATACTATTACATAGTCATATTCATTATTCCTACAACTTGGGTAATCGTATATTAAATCTAGCTTCAAATATGTGATGGAATTGGCCGATATTTGATTTGATTGAATACTTCATTGCGATACTTTTACAGGAAAGTTCACAAAACCGCAACACGTGTTTCGCAATACAGTGGCTTCCTCAAGCATATGAAAATGTTTGAGGAAACTATTGTATAGCGAAATACGTGTTGCGTTTTTGTGAGTGACACCCTCACGATAAAGCGTTACTTGAATCAATCTAGCTTCAAATTCAAAATTCTATTTGATCTTGTGGTAGGTACCTGATGAGAAGGTTGGTGTGAGTTTGGATCTTAAACTCTTCCACCTCTCGTCCTCCAAAGTGAACAGATGTGTTGACAGTGGATCCACCTTTTCATTGTAATACATTCCGCGGTTTACAAAATGATCGAAGTCCTTCAACAGGATGCTTTTGATTACATCGAGGTCGACTGGAATGAAAACTGGTGAGAAAAAGGTGTAACATCCACCGTATTTTAATCCTCTAGATTTCAGGTTATCGTAGAACTTTTTAAACAGTCCTCCTAGGGAAACCTTTCTCTGGATCATTTCTTTGACGTTTCCATAAAAGAAGTCGGGTTCGATGTACTCCACACCTTTCCGATACCAATAAGAGTAGATCCATTTTAAAAGTAAATAAATGCCAACTATCACTGCGCCCAAAATATATGTAACTGTTAGCAGGAACGTCATTATTTGTCAAATATCATGAATACACTGGTATCAGTTCCTTTTGTCTGAGTGATATCTCAATTCAAACATCGTTCAATCACATTATCGCCGATATCACATATTTGACCTTTCATTTTATTACCTTTGCAAAAGTCGGTTGAATACTGCAAAAATAATAACCTTAGTGTTTCAGTGAATTATTTCAAATCGAAATATTTTGTCAGTAAATAACTTCAGGTATTTTCAATATAATTTGTAATCTTAATACAATCACGTGGGTTAAAATACCTGTGCATATTTTTATAAAATTTGCAATTATCATCAATTAACTAAATCATGTAATCAACTAAAATACATCGAATCATTGAAAAAATAAACACAAGAAATTCATGAATTGAATTGAATAACTTTTAAATGAAAGAGAAATCACACGGTCTATTGATTTTTTTCAGTACCTATTCTCTAGTATCCATTTCATCCAGATTTTCATGAAAGGAAACTTCCTCAGTAGTTTTATGTTAATTGTTCTACATCCAACATTGTTGCAAGTATTGGATAGAACTGGCCGAAACTTGGTGAAAATCTATATTGAAACTCATTGATACAGTTGATATATGATTTTCACTATAAAGGGTTTTACAAAAACCGCGACACGTGTTTTGCTACACAATAGCTTTCTCATGCGTTTTTATAGTTGCAAGTTGGTTTCATCATAATATCACAATAAATTTCAGGTTGAAGATTTTTGTTTGTTCTATGCTTTACATTGGTAACTTTGATGTATTATTTTTTTAAAACAATATAATATTCCGCTGTTTTTGTTTCCTTGTTGATGAAAGCAACATTTTTTTCATTTTTGAATGGCAAGTGAATTTACAGGACTTATTTATGTTTGAATTGGAGGGGTTTTATTTTTAGGAGTGAATGATTTTTGCGAAAGAAAGTTTTTGGCTTTCTACTACTCCATCTTGACACAAAAAAATGTGGGAATCTTCCGAAGAAAGGAAGGAAGTAATCAATTTGAAAATAAGTTACTCTATACATGGATGTGTAGATCATGCAAAGAAGCAACTTTCATACACAAACTGGAAGAAAGCCCTCCTGAAACAGCTACTTTCATATAAACATTGAGTTACACGAAAGAAAAAAATTCTTTCGAAACGAATACTTTTATATGAACATTGAATTATACATAAAAGCATCTGCTGTATCAAGATGGAGTAGTAGAAAGCCAAAAACTTTACCAATTATTTATTTTCTCGGTGAATTTGAAAGAAGGAAATGAATGTTGATAATTATTTAATCCTAGTCATCCGTTTTACTGATATTTGAGTCCGCAAAACGTAAAAATATAGTATTTCAGTTGGGTTACATTCGGATTTCTTCATATTTAATGTGTAGAAAATAACATTTACTGAACTTTGTAGATTGCAGCATATTCAAAAGATTATTCAGCATCACTTCCACAATCGATTGTTACTCCAGAGTGACGGCACAACAGGCTTTAGCTAGGAGCAAAAGCTCCACAAGAAAGACAAGACTACTATTTTTTTCTTTCATTTTGCACTTCAAAGCAACCTAATAAGTCAGAAATGTTATTTCAATCAAACAAAGAAAACAGTTCCATAACAATCTGGATATGTAGGAAGAGAAAAAAGACTCTGTATTATTGAAGAAGAAATAAATAGTGGCAAACAGTTGATAACAATGATTATATTTTTCTCATATTCTGATTTTTTTTCTGAAGTGATCTATGCAAAAATCATAGCTACTGGAAAATGAAGACACATGGAAGAATATTCTTCTATGTGTCTTCATTATGGAATAATATTCTTTCATGTGTCTTCTGGTCCTCAGTGGGGTAATAAAACTATGGTGTTGTCAATTTCACTGAATTTTCGTTACGTTTAACCAAACTTCCTCGTCGACTCCTGTAATTGCAGCAGACGGGGAGTACCTTATTGGGGTCTTCGTTTTATCATTCAAAGTGACTTTGACATTTTTGATAATAGCGGCAATTCCAACTTTAGTTTGCAATAGTCCAAATCTGGCTCCTGAAATTAGAAGAAAAGTATATAATAATGATTATTTGTGCACTTAGTCTGAAACAAAAGATAAATTCACATTTTTTTATAGATTCAGTGACAATGAAATTCCACAAGATGCCACGGTAATAAATATACCGGGTGTTAACGAATCTTTTAGACAAGTCTTAACTTCCAGGCTATTAGATGTATCAAAATGAGATTTGGTATAGGTAAATGGTATGTGAAGAAGATATTCTTCATATATTCATCACTTTGGCTCCGGTCCTGAATTTTTGAATGGAACACCCTACAAATTGTAACATTCTTGGATTTTTGAGACAATTTTGGATCATAATTTTTTCAGTCACTTTTGAAATTGCATCTAGGTGGTAATGATCAGACGTAAGTTAATCTAAGTACCTCAGGTGATATCAGAAAATTACAATCGCGGAGTTTCAGTGTAATGTTGATGCAACTGATATTTAAATGCTTGATACCCGTGATTTTCAGTATTTTTCTTGCTGATTCGTGACTTATCTGCATTCTCGACGAATTTCTCTCAAAGAAACCGTTTTGTCAACCTAAATCATAGCAAGAACGTTTGTCTCAGTCTCCTCATTAATGATAAACCTCTGTTCTGCTTCTCAACTTTCCTCTCGCTTGAAACGATGGGGTGGATGTTGCCGATTGGGATATCTTTGCATACAACTCAGAAACATTCCTTAGATTTCTGTGCCATTCTCCAAACCATAACAACATATCCACTTTTTCACATCGAGTAAACATCTTTTTGACGGAAAATTGAACTAAAATTCAACTTGAATCAAGGAATGTGAAATGAAACGTTCTGTGCTTTTTTCCACTTTTGTTTGTAACTATCTCTACCGCAGTATCGTTCTATATGGACATTTTCGAACTATATGGACATTTTCGAACTACAATAACGATAGTTACAAATTAAAGAGTGTTTTGTTCTTCAAAGAAGACTTCTGTTTAATCTGTTTAAAATCTGTTTTTCCGTTAATCAGCTGTCGCCCCCATAGGAACGACAACTCTCAGAAGTTGAGAAACTTGTGCGAGCTAAAGACTAATGAGGTCTTACCTTTCAACGTGTGATTCCTAACACGGTTGCAGAATGATTCCAGCCTTCAACCAGATAAATTCTTTCGAGAAAAATATCTGGTCGAGGCGGGAATCGAACCCACCGCCCTCTGATCGTGAGTCGGGCGCACTACCATCGCGGCCAATTCCACAACTTATGGAAATAACTGCAAAATAATATGGGATCATGACTATCCATGGTACTCTTGACGAAAGTAGATAAATTATTATCAATTATTTTCCTCAGTGATATTCAATTTATGTTCTTATTTGTATTCCAACAGCTAATATATTAGTACCTATGGTTAGATTCGTAAAAAAATCCTTTTTCGAAAAGTGCTTGTCAAAAAATGGTCGCCATTTGAAAAATAATCGTTAGACACGAAAATGTAATTTTGTCATGGTTACCCCGATGCAATTTCAAAAGTAGGCGTGAAAACTTTCGAAAATGTCACATTCTGATCCAGAATTGTCTCAGAAATCCAAAAATGTTACAATATACTGGGTGTTCCATTTAAAAATTCAGAACCGGAGTCATTTCCAGTGCAACCGTAGGTGGCCAGAAAGTGAAAAATATGTGAAAACTATCTTCTACACATAACATTTACCTATACCAAATTTCATTTTAATACATCTAATAGTCTAGAAGTTTTTACTTGTCTAATAGATTCGTTGACTCCCAGTAGGTGATGAATCAATGTAAAATAATGAAAACTAGAATATTAGAAGATAAAAAGAGTCCTCACTACACATAAGAACGTCTGGAAATTTCGAAACGAGAATTTCTAAACACAAAAGAAATTTGAACTGAAAAAGGCCAATTTTAGTGTTTTCCATCTTAGACAGAAAATCTACGATTTAGTCATGGACTAGAATATAACACATAAAGAAAATAAAGGGTAAAAAATAAAATTGATGAAGTCTCTGGAAATCAATGAATGAAAACAATCAAATTGCCTATTGAACGACCAACAAGAATTCAACCACTCTACATTATTGAGCCTATTTTCGCACACTTCCGAGGATTAACTGTTATCCACCAATTAGTTTTCAAATTTCACCTACCTACCTAGAATAATGATTGTATGGTAACTACTTTTTCTCAAAATCTTCCTGCTCATCTGGAATTTCTATTATCATCCCATTAAGTTCTGTAACTACTGTTATATAAAATGCATTGTAGAATAGTTTAAGATACCACTTCCACTGACGAAGCTACAATGGAGCGAAACGTGTCTCTAGTGAAGTTACTAGTTTGAAAATTGTTTCATTATCATGGATAATGTTACTAATTTTCATCAAGTAACGGGTCAGTGTAATAATAATTGGAAATTGGTGCAATGGAAACTACATAGAGAAATATTTTGGAAATTTCAGTGAAGCGGTAATAGATAAAAACTGAATTCGAATTTTTAACTAATTTTCATCAAGTAACGGGTCAGTGTAATAATAATTGGAAATTGGTGCAATGGAAACTACATAGAGAAATATTTTGGAAATTTCAGTGAAGCGGTAATAGATAAAAACTGAATTCGAATTTTTAACTGCTAACACAACATCTGAAATCAGTGAACAGAGAATGAATCACAAAATCTTCTATGTCGTCTTTTGTGATCTCAGAAGCCCACAAAAAACCAATTCCCATCAGTTTCATTGTTTCATTGAGAATAATGACAAAGTATTGTTAACAAATCTTTCCAAAAGCATATACTATTGTTTCTGGTAGTATATGAAATTGAATGTGATAAACCTTTCGGTAGGTCGGTAGCCGGGCGGTTCGACGTGGGTGCTTTGTTCACTCAGTCAATCGGCCGATGTGTGAGTCGATGGTTTAAGCCCCAGCCACTCGATTTTCACTTGCTATCGTCCTGCCCGTGTTAGGAATCACACGTTAAAAGGTAAGACCTCTTTAGTCCTTAGTTCCCACAACTTTCGACTTCTGAGGGTTGTCGTTCGTAGGGGTGCGATAGCTGCTCAACGGAAAAACCATATTTTAATTTTTTCTTCATTACTGAATAGTACTATTTGCATAATTCAGTGATTATGCCATGTTCAGTGTTTCTCTCTGTATTTTTGCATTGTGCAATTTGCATTATTCAGTGATAATGAGTTTCTTCATATATCATCATCATGATATTGTGTGAATTGTTTATGCTTTCGAGGATAGAGGCGGAAACTGCCTTCTTGCATTCATAATATACAAACAGATTTGCAAAAAGACAACTAGATGGAAGGGTATTTTTGCTGCAAAAACTATATTTGAAAAAACTTGAAGTGTCATTTACAAGAAGTTGGAACTTGTATGCCCAGTGATGGATGAAGGAAATTACACTCCGCATTTTCTCTTCAAAGAATTTTTTATTACAATATTGTTGCAGTGATGATACATAATAAAGTTGAGCCCCGCAATCTTTTTCATATATGTATAAAAAAATCTATAAAATCAACAATTTTTAGCTGCATAGTTGACATTCGTATCGATAATACCAACACTCACCTATGCATATTCTAGGTCCTTCCCCAAAAGGCATATATGCAAAAGGGTGTCTTCTAGCTTTGTTCTCTTCATTGAATCGCTATGGATCGAACTTATCCGGTTCAGGGTAGTATTCTGGATCCCTATGGATTCCTAGAACTGGAATATTGACCGCAGTTCCTTTTTCTAGCACTATGTCGGTACCGGGAATAGTATACGGTTTTGTACAAACTCTCTGAAGGACTGCAAGAGCTGAGTGTTTACGGAGAGTTTCTGAAATAAAGATTGTAATACTAAAATCCTCTAATGAATATAAACATCATGTTGAAATCTGTGGTTCTTAGATGAAGACAAAGTTCAGATGCAGTGGTAAATAACTGGTTGAAATATCTTGATTTTTATGGAAGGGTTTTTAAAAAATGTGTTTTGACTTTGATGATCATCATTTTTTTTTATATTTTAAAACATTTTAATGATCTGAATGATCCTTTCATAACGCTTAAAATGCGCATACACACTTAAACTAACAATGAATAATTAAAATACAAAATATAGAGATCACGTCAGTAATTCATATAAATGTACAATATCAAAATTGAGGCACATTTTAATCTTATTTTCAGATGTGTGGGGTCTACAGGGCGATTCATCAAGAGAGTAGACATTGCAATCAATTAGGAAATCTCTTTACCTTATGTTCATGTATAATTTTCAATGATTCAATTTAGTTTGGAAGTGCATTTCATACGTTTATAAATATTCAGCAGAAATCCTCCCTAATCAATTCCAGATATAACAAAACAATTTACTACATATTGTTTTTCTTTTATAGATCTACAAAAAATATGTGATGTTATTTGTAAATCTTTCAGAAATAACTCACTCTACTAATTTTAATGTTTGAATCATTATTCACATAATAATATTGTAATTGGAAAGCTAATCGATATCTTATCGCAAAATTAAAAATCATGCGCGAGATAATAAATTCAAGCGGATGGCCGCGGCCTGACAAAAAATGCAACATACGTGATGAAGAAAGGTTTTAATCGCATTGTTTTTTTTATTACAAAAAACGCATCAACCAAATTGGTTACTAGCGTTACAGTTCAGGTTACATTTCTAATTTTAATTTAATTTACATCAAATGCAGAATCGGATCCTAGTGTATCCTTCAAAGATAATGGTATTCCATGATCATTCCTCTGCTAGTCAAACCACGGGCAATCAATGAGGAGATGCTTCACAGTCAAATTCACGTTGCACGCTTCGCATGTTGGTTGATTGTTGTTTTGAAGCAAATACTCGTGAGTTAGGCGTGTGTGGCCTAACCTTAAACGGGTTAGGATAACTTAGTCTCTTCGATGTTTAGGTAATGTATGTAGTCCATGATTTCACAAAACTTTTCACTTCTCTTAGCTTTGATGTTGAACCTTGCCAACGGTTTTGCCATGCAAGTAGCATGGCAAGTAGCATTCTACATGTTTGGGTTGGTTTTGTTTTACGGGGTTATTGAATAATTTTTAAGTTTTAGGTCACATTATCATTTTGTATTGTCTTTAGGTAGACAAAGATACCTTTTTCAAAATCAATTATCGTTCGAGTGAATTTTATTAAGGGTAATCATTCTTAGTTACTAGTTAAAATAAATGGATTCGCTCAGGAAGTTAATATGAGATCGCGAGGTGGTTTAACAACCGAAACCGGTCGTTACAAATGAAAACTTGGTAGAAATAAGACGAAAGTGATTTTCTTTATCCTACATTCATTATGAATACAGTAGAATCCGGATATAACGACCTTCAAGGGACCGAATATACTATGTCGTATTAACCGGACGACGCACAAAACGGATTAATTTTGTGGTAGTAAAGTGTACATTAGCTCATTAGTCTTTCATTTAGCTGTTCGGATTGCTGATCGATAGGTGAATAAAACATTTTATAGGAATCACATATGCTTTATTTTAATAGTTCTTAAATATCCTACTGTACAAACATATGTACTGTAATACAAAGAGATAAAATACACACGCATTGCACGAAAAAACTGTGTTACTAACGTAAAAGTCTGTTATTTGAGTTTGTTTTTGACAAACTTTTGTTCGGTAGTAAAAATTTCGTACAGCATTATGAATTCGCGACATCATTGTTTTCATAAAATTATCATCCAAGTTAGTCTGAACAAACACATTGAGCGTTTCCGCAGCCTTCGGAACTTCAGACACACTCAAGGTTAGGTAAATCTCCTCTAGTGCGGCATCATCACCGTCATTATCTTTGCTATTCGCGTCGTTAGCGTTTTTACGAAAATGTGATTTCAAAGTTCGAATAATCCCTTGGTCAATGGGTTGCAACACTGATGTCGTGTTTGGAGGCAAAAACACCAGGGTTATGCTTTTCAAGTAATATGGGGATATGCTCTTGTAGCAGAGGTTCATTAAGGGGTATTCTCCGGTCGCGCTGAAGCTTGAATCACTGTAACAATGCCTTATCCAACTGCTCATGAGAAGAAGTCCTTACACGTTTGCATTTCAAAACGTTGGCATTGAACAGCGACTCGATCTTATCTTTATTCTTTTTAATTGTGAATATTGTAGAATGGGATACGCCTAACTCCTTTGCGAGGGCTGCATTTGATTCACCGGCTTCTAATCGTTGTAATATTGCACTTTTTTCTTTAATTGCAAAACACTTTCGCTTCACAGAATTTATTTTGTCGAACTTTATGGATTTACAACAAGTGACAAAGACTTCATACTGGAACCTCTAGCGTAAAATCAATCTATTAATATCTGTTAGTAGTACCTATCAATAGACGTATCTGAGAAGAGGGAGTGCGCCGAGGTATTGGTGTGCAGATTGTTTAAACAAAACATTGCGCGACGTTTTAACCGGATGTAGTATCATGATGACTCAGGCGATAACCATGGGAAGATTACTATCTTCTCCGGCCAGAAAAGTGAGAATCTCTGGAAGGGAGATTGACTGGCAAGCGCGAGTAAAGTACCTCGGCCTTTTGATAGACCGTAGGCTCACTTGGAACCCGCACATTACGTACGTCAAATCTAAGATCGAGGGTCGGATAGTCAGTCTGTACCCTCTGATCAATAGAAAATCAAAGATGAGTTTAAAAAACAAAATCATGATCTATAACACGATGTTCAAGCCTGTCATCATATACGCTTCAGGCGTCTGGGGACAAGCGGCTCCGTCCAACATTTCCATTTTAGAAAGGTTGCAAAATAAGATAATGAGGATGATTGTGAATGCTCCTTGGTTCGTGCGGAATGAAGCCATCCGCAAAGATTTGCAGCTGCCTTCCATTCGGCAGTCCATTCAGTCGAGGAATGAGAGAGTTTTCGAAAAAACGGAAACTCATGAAAACCCGTTAGTTAGGGAAGCCACAGATTATGCTGTAGACGACCCCTCCCGATATAGAAGGCCCCGACACTCTGTCGAATGAGGCCCCCATGTCCCCCGTTAACGTATGAACAACTTTCTCATCCATCCCACCCCAGCCAGGTAGGGGTATCCCGTGAAGGGCGGCACTGATGTCTAAGGACTTCATGCCGTCACCAATTCAGTCATGAACCCATTGGTCCCTCTCAAGACCAAAAATCAGTCAAAAGGGTAGGGGAGCTGGTCTCCAAACCTGGATGAAATCACGATGACATTCTGATGTAGTATCATGAAAAACGGTCGCTATAAACGGTTGGTCGCTTAAACCGGAGTCGCACTAATCGGTATATTTTATCAATTACTAAATATGAAACTAAACTTGAGTAAACATTATCGTCGCTGTAAACGGATAGTCGTTATAAGCGGAGTCGTTATTTATGAATTCTACTGTATCTACAAAATAAATAGGTTATCAATCGTTTTTTCGAATAGATATAGTGATATAAAACCATCGCAATATCATAAAAAAAAATGAATGACATTCTACTGAGCTGATCTGCCTGCAAGGATCTTTTTTCTAATTTCGGATGTCTTTAATATTTTCCAAGATATTTGCAAAAAACAAACTTCCCTATTTTCCTAAGTTGTTTATAACTTATGCAATTTTTTCGAACTCCTCTTGAATTTTTCAAAAAGTTCCAAAAAAAGAATCTTGTGATCCAGACTATAAACGAGTGAACCTATTTCTAATGGCGAAACAGTAATGAATGTAGAATGAAAACCCCTTCCTCAAACGAGGACGAACCCCCGTTTGCGTTAAAAAAATGTGATGATACTTTGAAAGTTTTGCAGTAGGTTTTTGAGTCGAAACTTGTTTCTCTTATAATTATTTTCGACATTTCCGATGGTTTGTTTGAAAGTCATTACCCGAAGACGATTGTGGATACTAACAATCGAAGCGTCGCGTCGTGAAGTAACTTGGTTTGAATATTTTTTTATTTCTGCTATTCTTTTTATATTTGTTTTTACTTTGTGGCCATTTTCATCTTTCATCTTGATTTTTTTATTCGTTTTATTGCATTTTCATTTCATGTTTCATTGTTTGATATAATTGATATTTCAGCTATTCATTCTAACTTAATTTGTTTTTTCATAGATTGTGAATCATAGTAGACACTGGAAGTCCGAACTAGTGAAATTTCCGATGGCCCTAGAAAGTCTGAAAATAGCAAAGTGCAGTCAAAAATATGCACCCATATAATTTGTGATTTGTTGGTCAACGACAACTTCCATTGTTGAATCCAAAATATTAAAAATGCTCAGAATTTGATATACTCGTACAATCAAAGAAAGATGGTCCTAGTAGAAAATGTTTTCCTCGTATGTTTCAAGTGGTATCCAACTATAGGTATGCTGATAGCAGTCAAGTGTTTTTAATAAATTTATAATATGTACCTCGTATTGTTATCTTGATATTTGAGATGACTCAGAGTCAAGGTCATTGTTTATAATGATAATTCAGATAAAGAGTCATTTGAATAGCCGTATGATTGTACAAGTTGCTTCAAATAAATCCCTTCGCAAATATTGTTGCTACGAATTTTCTTCGAAATTGAATCCCATTGAAATAATTCATCATGAGGAATGAGAGTCAAAACTGAGAATGAATGAGAATAAAAACATAGAAAGTTTCAATTCTCATTTTTCATGCTGAATTTTCTTTTGACATTCAGTAAATAATGAATAACAACTGAATTGAAAAGGAATTGATCTACATAACTCCAACCAATCTTTAACATACTAACCATCAATAACTTTCTCCAAGTATTTCATCTCCATAACAGAATCATAAGTAAACTGCATATCGTGCTTCTTCAGAACCGTATTGATTTCCTGTCTCAATTTGTCCTGAATATCCTGGTTGAGGGACAGTTCAAGCAAAGCAAAAGTCATAGTCGTGGCGGATGTTTCAAATCCTGCTACAAAAAACACGAAACACTGTGCTGCAACTTCGTTGAAAGTCAAAGTATCTGAGCCTTTGTTCTTATCCTCTTCCTTTGTAATATTCGCATCGTCGCTGACCTTACTGCTGTTTTTCAACTGCAGCAATAAATGCATGAAGTCTTTCCTATATACATTATTTTTTTCCCTGTACTCAACCGTTTTCCTAACCACATTCATCAGAAAATCCGAGGTTGTCCTGTTGATCACTTTGAAACCTATAGCATGCAAGAAGTTATTAGGAAGCGTCATTAACAGGATTCCCCTGAGTTTTCCGATAATGCTTTGTTCGAATATTCCTTTTCCCCACTGTCTGAACTCTGAGTCTGGGTTCTTCAGACTGTTGCAGTCGATTCCGAAAGCAACTGAACCAATCGCGTCGGTTGTAAATCTAGCAGAAACGTCTTTGATATCCACTGCATCTTGGAGGATCGAGTGCTCACTTAGGATGTCTTCGAGGCCGGAAGTGCAGGCCACTAAGGTTTGAAACATCATCTTCAGTTTTCCTGAAATGTGGGATAGAAATTTTATTTTTATAATCATAATTTTTGTTCTATTTAAATATATATGCAATGCCGTAAAGTTTTCTATAAGTTGTGGTTTATTTATAGCTTTGACTTCAGGGTGGAATATTTTGTAGAGATTGTCAAAAATAAAAGTAGCCAAATTAAAAAGTTACCATCAGTTTGTCGAAGCCACTCAATGATATCCGCTTTCCTCCAAGAATTAGTTGGTATCTTTCAACTTTTCTGGAATGATAACTTGCATTATTCATCACAATCACAAAGTTAGGTGGAATGATGCATTTGCCCAAAATATTCTTCAAACACATCGCGCCGTTCATGTCTTCATGGTAATTGCCAGAATGATTTGTTTGGTCGTTCGGTAGCCAAGCGGTTCGACGTGGGTGCTTTGTTCACTCACTCGAATTGACTGCCTTGTTGGTCGGTGGTTTAAGCCCTAGTCTGAACGATCGATTTTGCATTGCTATCATCCAACCCGTGTTAGGAATCACACGTTAATAGGTAAAACCTCGTTAATCATTAGCTCGCCCAAGTTTCGACTTCTGAGGGTTGTCTTTCGTAGGGGTGCAACAGCTGGTTAACGGAAAAACAGATTTTTTTAAATATGAATAAACCGCCCTCAATAAAACCATCAACACTTCTAGTGTAGGTTAGAATCAGTCGCCTTCCTTTTCCAGAAGGCCAATTTAATCCGGTAGACCAGCCTTCTGAAAATGCTTGATGTGGATATGTAACGTTTTTGCCTCGACACATATTTCCAAATGGTATATCTTTCGATAAGCCAAGTTACGTCCAGATAATAAATCTTTCTGTTCTCACGTCGAAACTATCTGCCCTAGGTAATGTCTCTTCCAGCAAATAATTTCATCAATTCCGATCAAGTGTTCACAATTTCTTTCTGACTATTTTTGGATGCTTTCATTATTATGTCGAGGGTCGGTATTTTTGTTTTCAAATGAAATGAATGAACTGTTCTTTCAATTTTGAGTGAGTAGTTTTCATTAATTGGCACAGTTCCTAAAGATGGTTTTATTTCATTCTTGTATTTATATATCGATGATTCTGCGAACACACTAGATTATATGAAGGATTGTGGTGTATGAGAGCATTAAATTCATCGAGAACAATAATTTTTTCGTTAACAGAAAAAATACATTTGTTCATTCGGTTTATAAAACTGAAGAATTGCAATTCACACACTAAGTATATTTTACTTATAATAACTTTGATTGAGATGCAAAGTCATTATCTACAGTTGATATTCTTCAGTTAGTAAAGGACCTAATACAAGCACTATCAGATGGGATCGAATCATGACCTCATTCTCATTCAATTGAAAATGAGAGTGCTCTATTTTTTTACTCACCGTATACCCGCAAATATCAAAATTCTTTTGGGATTTTCACCAACCTTTACGCCTTTGAAACAACTGCTTGAAATGATTTTTTACACCGGCATATCAAGGACATAGACTATAAACCCCTACAATAACTGTTGATAATTGGTCGCTAACCTGAATGTAACTCAAACTTGAATATATCCTAACCTTACCTGATTTAATCTAATCCCTATTCATCCGTCTCGCTTTCTGACAGACATTCAAACCCAAATCTCATATAAATTTTTCAATGTTCTTCATCGGGTATTGTCATAATAGATTGTTTTGTTTCATTTTTAGATGAGGAATTCAAAAATATGAATATCATCAAAGTCGGATATATCTTTATTATTTTCTACTTATGTCTTATGTCTCTGGAATTTGGTAATGACACTACCAAAATTGTATGTACTGTTCTAAGTACATACAAATACACCATTACTATCAGGTTTTTTTCCAATTGCTTTATTGTAGAACAAAATCCACAATTCCACCACTAACACAAGCGAATGGTTCAATTGCAACAACAGCCATAGAAAAAGAACAATTTGCGTCGCAACTCCACAGTCGATTTTCGGGGAAAGGCACCACCCACTATTTCCACACTAGAATCCACAATGCCGGAAATTACTTTTCGACAGCATCTAGTGAGGCGAATTTTGAAACAGCTTAATATCAACAAGGCGTCTGGTCCTCATGAAGTGTCCGTCATGGTACTTAAAAACTTCGCAAATGAACTCGCACCAGTATTTTGTAGACTTTTCAACCTTTCACAAGAGAAAGGTTTTTCCTTCTTGTTGAAAGATTGCTTGCCTTCAGCCTATTCCCAAAAAGTGCAACAAAAATCTTCCAAATTATAGACCAGCTGCTTTGCTATAAGTGCTATCAAAAATCATGGAGAAAGTCGTGAACCACCATATCCTCAAATATTTGAAAGGCTTCTTGAGCGGTCATCAATATGACTTTCTGGAAACAAAGATCGTATGTCTCCCATATTTGGAATAACGCAATCGAGAAACATTGGGAATCAAGAGATGTTGCACTTGATATTCTTAAGGCCTTTGACCGTGGGTGGCATGCATGTTTGCTGGCCAAACTTCGATGCTATGGCTTGTGAGATCATTTTTGTGTATGGCTCTTCAGCTTCCTGAAGGAACGTTCCCTGCAAGTGGCCGTCGATGGATATCTCTTGAATACGTTCACATGAACGCTGGTGTTCCCCAGGGATCCATATTGTCTCGAACCTTTTTTTTTACTGTATATCAACGACTTACTGAGAAAAACTAACAAATCCAATATATTGCTTTGCTGACGACACACATCGGCTACGGAGGCATATCTTCACCGGCAGCAGGAGGTTGCAAATCTTAATGAGGATCTAGAATTGGGCTGAAAGTAACCAGATTCAATTCAATGCCACGAAAACCCAGGTTCCGGTTTTCTCCACACATATAAATGTCCCCACACCGGAAATAATAATGTCAGGCTAGACAATTCTGCTTTCTGCTTCGACAAGTTTGTTATGGGTTAAAATGGACACCAATATGTCTTGGCACAATCATGTCGCTGAAATTGCAAAGACTGCTTCTCAAAAGCTTGGAACAGCGTTCCGAACCAGAAAACTGTACAAACCTCAGCAACTTTTGATGCTTTATAAAGCTTAGATCAGACCTTCTTTGGAGCATTGTACTCATGTATGAAGCTCTGCCCCCAAACTTACCCTGAAGTTGCTGGATTCCATCCAGAAAAGAACGATTTGCCTGATTGTAAACGATAACATCACTTGCAACCTTGATAGTCTGAAACACCGAAGAAAGGTTGGAGATTTATCTCTCTTCTATAGATACTTTCACGGAACGTGTTCAAATGCCTTGGCACATTTGATTCCACCAAGAGCGGTACATATCAGAAATACTCGACGGACTGTGGCTGCTCATCGTTTTGAGGTTCAACTCAGTACACCTCGTACATCACTGTTGTAACAACTCTTTCATCTAGAGAACTGCGTTAATGTGGAATAAACTTTCTGTGAACGTTTATTCAAATGGATTTAATCTCCAGCGAATCAAATCCAATGTGAATCGCTACTTTCGCACAGGCACCGCTGTGAGAGTGTGAGAGCTGTGAGAGCCTTCAGGATTTTCATGCAGTGTTTTTTGTGTTTTGTCCTTAAAAAAGATCAGGAGAGGTGTTTGAAATATTGTTTTGACGTTTGTCTCTAGTGATCGCAGATTTCTAAACTGTAACTAGAAAAAGGTAAAAACCCGTGGAACATACAATAACATGGTGTAATTTTTTTTCTTTGAGTTTACTATATATGGAGATTGGATATATTGAAAGTTCAAAACACTTGTGATGTTATTGGCCGACCTGTTGGTGATTGAAAGTGATTGTATTTGGTGAGACGCCACTTGAATTAAATTTACAATATTCATACCTTGTTCAAACGTAAAAAAAAGTCAAGACAGAAAAGGTTCAATGTAATGATGAAATCGAACAAAATTGTTTTTTTAATGGCATTTGTATAAGAAAATCCAATACTATTAAAGATCTGGCCTATTCTCCCTATACGACTCTTAAAGAATCAATGGAGGGCGCCTTCGGGTTTTTGTTGTGCCTCCAAAAATCAGCAAAACAGCAGAAAGAGCAATTATGAGTGCCAAGAAGAAACTTTCACTGAATATCCTTCTTTGGGGGTTACAATTTGGCTGGGAGGGAAGGGCTCGAATAGTTTTTATATGACGATTTTAAGTAGTTCTACCGCTTTCATGGAGAATAGGTTTAATTTAGAGAGTTTTAGACATTCATTTAATTGAAAATAATACTCAAACTCTCAAACGCACATGAATTATCCAGAGCAGACAACATGAGAAAATTAACAAAGAGGGGTGTTTCGACCCTTTGATCAATAAAAAATACAGTAACACACCTAAGCTTGAATGCATTGTCACATTATTGAGTGATTTCAATAACCAGATTTGTTTTATGTTTTTTCTCATTCGAGTCTTCTATGTCTTCGAGGAAACAGCGCAATAGATCTCTGAGCTCTAGTAGAATATTTTTTCAACAAATATTGATTCATGAAATATAATGAATGAATTTTATCACCTATCATGCTGTCTCTTATGAAATATTGATTTTTATTTTGTGCATTCAGAAACTTGCGTTTCTAACAACTTAACCATGCCACATAGCCCTCTACGGTTCTGAGAAATGATTCTCTACGACTGTGAGGAATATATCTGATAAACAAGAGCTTTGGAAAGGATACACTGTGGGGTCCAATAAAATTATTGGATTTTATTTTGCATTAATCAGCTTGGGGGAATTCAAATAGTACAGAAAATAGTATTCAGTATTCACACATATTTGAAAAACTTGATGTTATTATAATGGGACTAAAGTTGTCCAACAACTTTTCACAGTACACAGAATGAGACATGATCGGTGAAGATCTATGAACCAAGGGTTCTGAACGGCATGAATTGTGTGCGCAATTAGGAGACCGTGGTTCATTCTGTGAACTGTAGAGCTTTTTTCATGAATGAAAGAATGCTTTAAATGTGGTTGTAGATGTTTTTTTTTGAATGATAAGAGTTTCATTCTCT